GAGTCCAAAAAGACCATACCAACCTGATCACAAGTGATCTTTGGCAGAATAGCTTCAATAGAGTGGAACAGTGAATGATTGTGAGTCAGTTAAGTACAGACAAGTAAATAGATATTGAGTGTCTACTCTGTGCCAGAAACCATGTTAACTCTAAGGGATATTAGTGAAGAAAATCAACAAAACCCTCACAGAGTTTACAGTCTGGTGAGGAATACATATTAAATAATTAGAATTGGGAAATGGAATAAAGGACAGCATTTTTTTCCCCAAGAATCTCAGTTATAGGGGCGCCTGGGTGGCTCAGTCAGTTGAGCATCCGACTTCAGCTCAGGTCACGATCTCACGGTTCGTGAGTTCGAACCCCGCGTCGGGCCCTGGGCTGATGGCTCGGAGCTTGGAGCCTGCTTCCGATTCTGTGTCTCCCTCTCTCTCTGCCCCTCCCCTGTTCATGCTCTGTCTCTCTCTGACCCCAAAATAAATAAATGTTAAAAAAAAAATTTTTTTTTAAAAATCTCAGTTATAAAAGGAAGGAGAGGGGCGTCTGGGTGGCTCAGTCAGTTAAGCATCCGACTTCAGTGCAGATCATGATCTTGCAGTTTGTGAGTTCAAGCCCTGCATCGGGCTCTGTGGTGATAGCTAGGAGCCTGGAGCCTGTTTCTCCCTCTCTCTCTCTGCCCCTCCCCCACTTGCGCTCTGTCTCCCTCTGTCTCAAAAATAAACATTAGAAAAAATTGATTTAAAAAAAATCAAAAAAATAAAAGGAAGGAGAAGGAATTGACAAAAACACAGAAGATCGTTTGTTGTTTTTTCTTATAATCTTTATGGACTGTGGCGAAAGTACCTAGTAGAAGTTGAAATTATAAGACAAAATGAATAACCAATGAAACAATGTCCCAATAGGCTACTCATATTATCCCCACTGTAGAAAATATCCTCCCTTCTCCCCATCTGGGCTTCATATCACACCCATTCTCCATGTCCGTCTAACTCCTTCAAGTCCATACTTTAAGATTAAGCTGAACTGTAACAGCCACCCAGGTAAGTATTCCTGACCCTTTATCCCTGCCTCCCACAAATAAGGCAATTGTCCTTTCCTCTGTACATCCTCCTATTGCATAAATAGGATATATGGTTTTAGCTTTTAATAATTCTTTACAATTATGAAATGAATATATACTTAGTATACACAAATGTCACCATAAATAAGAAATAAAGATCGCTTAGGGCACTATTTAGACACCCACATGAATATACCCACTACTTGGACACCTACTTCTTCAGTGTCTTCACAAGAACACAGAGTGAATTACTCACTGTGACAAGACAGGATATCCACAATAACTCACTGGTAAGTTAAAGAATTTAAGATGCCTCATCCTAGATGCCTCTAAAATGTACTTTTGTCCTGTAGATAATTTATCCAAACCAGACATTCCTCCAAAGGGAATGCAATTATAACAAACTACAGTGGACTGAATGTACACATTTATATCTGCTCCCTCCTAAAGCTGCAGAGAAATGACAGAAATGCAAGTGTTTTAAATCCACGAAGAAAAAGAATGGAAGAGGAGACAATAGCGGATGACAGCAGAGACATACAATGAAAGGATGGAAAGATGAAAAGCAGACGGACATGTGGTAGCTGACTACTCAGAACAAAGAAAGCTAAAACATATGTAACTGCTAAAAGAGATTCCAATAAGAAGCAACTCCACAAGTTCTCAGATATTGAATTCAATACTGAAGACTATGATAAAGGGGCTGCAAATAAGGACTGGTTGACAGTCTTCATCAGAACACTTGATGCCTCAATCTCTTCTCCTATTCTGAGCAGTCAGGCCAGTGCACTTCCCTCCCCTCAGCATGGAAAGCAAGATCACTCTGAAGAAAGTAAGCCAGATGAGCTCTAGACCGCAAGGCAATGGGAACTGAAAACAGAGAGACTGAGTAAAAGTCAACAGACTGAACTGGGAGACTGAGCATCAGCTCCTATGCGACTTCAAATCCCAGAATATTACTAGACTAGCTAGACTTACAGCTTTCTGAAGGAGACTAAAGGATGCCACTGTGTAAATTCTGGGGTAAGTTCCAAAGAAAAAACCTATAGTTACCGACATTGGGAGAATCCCCAACAAAGGAACTAACTGGATGCCAGGCTATAATGAAATCCACTGTACAGAACTACTAATCAGCTTTATAGAGTCTCATTCTGAAATATGATGGAAGGGCTGTTCAGAATCACCATACATTTTAGGAATACCTCTAACATGAAAGATTGCAAAACAAACAAAAAAGAAAACATTCAACTTAGATAACAACAAAGACAATCCAGGAAGCAGATAAAAATAATCTTAAAAATATAATACTTTTAGATAAATAAAACATGATATAAGATCACATTCAATCAAATGAGAGAATACAATAAAAATATTTGTCTCCTGTTTTTCTCAGAAAGCCATGTACACCAATAAGGGGTCTACCAATTAAAAATAAAGTCATGGGGCGCTTGGGTGGCTCAATCGGTTGAGCTTACGACTTCGTCTCAGGTAGTGATCTCGCGGTTTGTGAGTTTGCCCCGTGTAGGGCTCTGCGCTGACAGCTCGGAGCCTGAAGCCTACTTCGGATTCTGTGACTCCTTCTCTCTCTGCCCCTCCCCCACTTGTGCTCTGTCTCTATCAAAAATAAAAAAATGTAAAAAAAATTTTTTTAAATAAATCAATAAAGTCATGAGATTCAGAAAACAAGGCAGAGGCAAAGAAAATTCATAAGGTAATGAAACTTCACAGTTACCACTGTGAAACAGGCCTAACAAGCAAAAGTACAAACTGAATGAAGAAGATAGTGCATTCTCCAAAAGGAATGTCTTCAAGGGCAAAACCCAGAACTTATAGATAACCTTATTATTAGGTCTAATAAGAAGAAATTGTATAGTTTTATTGGAAAGCTTGATAAAGAATCTATAATAAAATAGGAAGTCAAGCAATAGAAAAAAGTAGATAATTATTAACTGTAGAAAAAAAAACAGGGGCGCCTGGATGGCTCAGTCGGTTGAGCGGCGGACTTCGGCTCAGGTCATGATCCCGCGGTCCATGAGTTCGAGCCCCGTGTCGGGCTCTGTGCTGACAGCTCAGAGCCTGGAACCTGTTTCAGATTCTGTGTCTCCCTCTCTCTCTCTGACCCTCCCCCGTTCATGCTCTCTCTCTCTCTTGGTCTCAAAAATAAATAAACGTTAAAAAAAAAAAATCTATACAAGAAAGGAAGTATAATCACAGCATATCACATAGCTTAGGTGTAGGCAGTATTTACAGAGTCATAATAAAAAAATTCTAAAACATAACTTAAGCTGAAATTGTAGTATAACTAGATATGAAGGATGAACGAAGTCTGTGTGTATCTGTGTGCCTAACAGAAGGGAGAAGACAGAAAAGGGGGGCTGGGAGGTTGGCATAGGAAGTTAATACTGTCTAAAACTGAAAAAATCCACAAATAGCTGAATAAAAATTTCATTTAAATGAGGTAAATCTAAAAACAAAAAAACATAAGTCAATTCATCTGTAGAGGACTATTTTACTGTAAGTCCATAATGCCACTTGACTTTAACAAAATACACCTATATTTGCTTTGCTAAAAATGTTTTTTTAAATTATCTGTGATCTCAGAAGAAACAGCCAGCCAATATATTTGAAAGTTCAGAATTTGTCACTATAATTGACTATAAGTCATATTCAAAAAACCTCTTCCAAATTTACTTCCTTGGAATGGATATCCACAAAGAAGACAGAAGGATGTAATTCAGAATAAAATCCTAAGAAAAAAATTCTTCTTGGAATCTTACAATGAAAAGTTTCATGAAATAAGATATAGTGATTAAAAGAATGGGTTCCAGGTTCAGAACTGAGTTCAGATCCCAGCTCTGCTACTTAAATAACAATGTGACTGAGTTAAATTACTTAGTCCCAGTGCTTCAGTTTCTTCCTCTCTAAACTGGATGTGTATACAGTACCCATAATGTAAGGCTGCTGTGATGATCAAATGATAACCCCCACAAAGAGCTTAATACAATGCCTGACACATAAAAAGTGTTGAATAAATACCAGCTCTTTTTATTAGTACAATGCGAAAGCATACCAACCAAATTGACAGTGATCTACCATGATTGCTAACATATACAATACACTTCTGTTCCCCACCAAATTACTCTCAAAATTACTTATCATCCAAGATGCATATATTATAAATAGGAGTCTATCAGATACGAAGATCTTACTTCCAATATAATATAAAAACAAATTCCAGATAAACTAAAGATTTACACCCAAGAAAAGGAAAAAATAGTAGCAGGAAGTAGAATATAGATTTCATCATATCTCTATCAATTTCCTTACTCATTCCGGGCATAAGTTTCCTTTATTGCTAAATAAAAACTTTAAAGAAATGATCTATTCAGTCATGTCCAGTCCTCAAAAATCTATTTACTCCAGAAAAAGACAAACAGAAATCCCTCTTCTATAGTCAAATTTAATTGAACATGCCATTTGACTTTGGCAAAAATTTTAGAATCAAAGATGGGCAGAAACTAGAGGGATAGGTCATGAGGTTATAATTTATTCATCTAGATATTTTGTTTCTTCTCCCTACTGTTTGGTTTGATCTTTGGTCATTTCAATAGCTCCTATATTCAAATCTACCTCTGATTCTATAAGTTTTAAAGCTAGATTAGTGGGGCGCCTGGGTGGCGCAGTCGGTTAAGCGTCCGACTTCAGCCAGGTCACGATCTCGCGGTCCGTGAGTTCAAGCCCCGCGTCGGGCTCTGGGCGGATGGCTCAGAGCCTGGAGCCTGTTTCCGATTCTGTGTCTCCCTCTCTCTCTGCCCCTCCCCCGTTCATGCTCTGTCTCTCTCTGTCCCAAAAATAAATAAACGTTGAAAAAAAAAATTTAAAAAAAAAAAAAAAAAAAGCTAGATTAGTAACAAACATTTGTAATTTATGAAAAGTCGTTACCTTGGATTTGGTATTTCTCCAAGAACCTCATCTAATTTGTCAATGAAGTTAATAAAATTAGACAATCCTTTTACATGTGCCCTTAAAGGATCAGATGGTGATGGTGCATATCCTTTCCCTCCAAGCTCTAGTGTCCTAATAAATGATGTGGCCACCTATGAATTAAAACAAATGATTTAGTTATGTTTAATGATTTAGTAAGTTAAAAATAAAACTTTATGAAGCTGGGTGCATTTATATTATTTCTGGGTATAGAGGTAAAGTAAGCACTTTTTACAATTCATGCCACTTTGATTCAGAAGCAAATAATTAAAGAAACAGATGCCATGCAAAATTCATGCAGCAGGGGTGATGGCAATGCAAGTGGAGACTGGGGAGCCAAGTTAGAAAACTAAGAGAGTAAGAATATATTCATAAGAGAATATCACTGACTATAAAATATTAGTGTAGAAATATATTCTTGTATAGATTAAACTGGAGTTTTTATATGGATCAAAGGGTTTTTAAGTATCAACTGTGTTGATTTATTCAAGGGTGGGCAATTAATTCAACTCTTCCAAGCCTTATCTTACTTTAAACACTTAGACTAAATAATCACTACGTCCTATCTAGTTTTCACATTTTAGGATTATTTCATCATGTGTAGTTCAAAAGGCCTTACCTCTACAATGACAAAATTATGTATATGATGGCTATACTTAAGAGCATCTCCATCAAAGATGAAATGTTCTAAAGCTGTATTTTCCAAAGTGTATACTAAGACAAATTCTATGAAATTTCAGTAATTTGGAAGAAAGTTCCAAGGTTAAATAACTTAGAAAACAATAGATTAAACAACATGGTTAATTTAAGCATATTTCTTAATGGTAGGACCTCTCAGAGCTTTTGATATATAAACATCCAATAAAGGTATATACTATTTCCAAACTTTTTGCCCTTGGACACATTTATTCAAGGAGCATTTAACAAGGACTTTTTCCTTTGGATGTATTTACTCAAGGAGAATTTAACAGGGCTACCACTCTATAAAACACACGTAGGAAAACACTGTTTTAGAGATATTCTCCCTTGTCAAATTTGAAGAATATGGTGATAATACCACAGATTTTCAAATACAAAGGAAGAACATATATTCACAGTTTAAAACCTGTTTTATCATAAGAAGTCTATATTACGGTACAGGTATCCACTGTTCATAACAGTCTTTTAAAACATCTTGAAAATGTAATATGTCCATACCAAAAAGATCGACATCTTTTTCTCTTGAGCAGCATGTTTCAAATCAGTGAAGGCTTCTCGTCCAAGTCCTCTATCAGGAATATTAAGAATATGAGCCAGAGCCAGGTCATTCTTTGAATTCACTAGCAGGCTTAAATATGAGTAGATAATTTTCCTTGCTAGTAACTGCACCTGTACAATAAAATATTATTTTCTTTATTGAGGTTGTTCTAAATCAATAATCTTTTCTTATATGCAGTAAAAATACTTATGACCATTCAATAACAATCTCACTCAACTCTTTGGGAAAAAAAGAGAACTACCATAAAACAAAAGTTTGAATTGGACAATTAACATATTCTTGATCGTGAAACCAACTTGCCACCAGTGAGCATCTATGAGCAAATAACAACTATCATAATTGTTGAAAATGTCTCTTAAAAAATGATATAAAAAGATAAAGTCCAAAGTCTGCATTTCTGATAAGGCTGGATCTCTTTCCCCTGCACACATTTGTCACTAAATAACAAGGAGTAATGATGCCCCCCGAAGCTTAGGGAATGAGCCAACTGGCACTATTTGGTCCTTTACCCATACAGGACTAGATATAGGCTGAAGTTAAAAGGTTAAATTTTGGAGGAAATTATTAGATATTGGTTTTGACAATACCAAATAACCAAGTAAGTATTACAATGAAGAGATAGAAGCAAATGTAAAAAAAAATAACAAGTAGTTGATATTGACATTAACTGGCCTAAAACAGAGCTATGACTGTTTAAGCACAAGATAAATAATATCTGCTATAATTTCATATGGATATTGGTTCTTTCATATATACTGTATTTGTCTTTTATAGTCAAACAACAAACCAGAGTATTCAATGATCTTATTCTTAAAATTAGCTATTTATAGCTATTTAAGGCCTTGCAACTTCTATCTAGTATGGGGGAAGTGATAGTGTGAACTCCCACAAATAAGTATAACTTATTAGGTAAATTTTTAAAAACATAACTACATAAAGACACCGGAGGGATGCCTGGGTGGCTCAGTTGGCTAAGTGTCCAACTTCAGCTCAGGTCATGATCTCATGGTTTGTGAGTTCAAGCTGTGCGGACAGCTCAGAGCCTGCAGCCAGCTTCAGATTCTGTCTCCCTCTCTCTCTCTCCCTCTCTCTCTCTCTCTCTCTCTCTCTCTGCCCTCCCCCGCTCTTGCTCTGTCTCTCTCAAGAATAAACATTAAAAAAAAATTTTTTATAAAAATAAATAAATAAAAGACACTGGAAAGGATCCAAAAAGCAGACATTAGCTGGAGGAGAACTTGATTTTAAAAGAACTGCAACAAGAAGGGTAAGAATAGCAAGTCTGTGGTTGTTCAAGGCCCTAAACTTCCTGTAGTACTGAAGTGAGTGATCATGTGAACCTCACAGATAACAAACATAAAATGGTAAGAAATTTTAAATACTATTTAAAGACACTGAGAAGTGTCCAGAGGGTAGACAGAAGCTGGAAGAATATTTAATTTTAATGGAACTGCAATAAGAAGGGTATGAATTAAGTTCGTGGATTACTGGCCCAAATTTCATGACTATGGCGGCTGCAGAAGGTAGAAGTGACTATAAAGGTGTCCTTAGAATCCAGGGCTGGGAAAGCAGCTAGACATTTAAAGGGGAAAATCTTGGAAAAATTGAGAGCATAAAGAGTCAAAATCCCTAGCTGACTGGGAAACCACACAAGCATGGGGAAGACTCCAGGAGGCCCATCAAAAATGCAAGTCAAAATGAGAAAGAAACATATTCAAAAAATATATTCAAGAAAGACTGAGCTATGAGGAACCAGAGCTATGAGTTGGAAGGTTTGCTAAACTGAGTGCATTCCTCAACTGTGTATAGCTTAAGTGGCAGAAAGCTGAAGGTGTACAGGCTTGAAGTGTTAAATGTACACAGCCAAAGCTTATCAGAACTGGAAAATTCAGGAAAAACCCTAGGAAAAGGAATCTATGGAGAGAATAAGCTCCATACTTCCCCAAAACTGTGCCTGACTGCCAAATTTGGCAGGTAGAAGAAAGATCTACAAAAGCCAACCCAAAAAAACAGCAAAGGGAAGCCATAATAATAGATATCCAAAAAGGTGCATACTGAGGAAACAAAATATGAAGTTGAAATCCAGGCAAGTAAATTGCCTACTAGAACAAAAACTCAACTGTCCTCAGAAGAACATGATATAACCCAGAATCACTATAGAATATTATCTGTAATGTCCAGTTTTCATTCACAAATTACTAGACAGTTTAAAAAAAAGGGGGGGGGGTGCGCCTGGATGGCTCAGTTGGTTAAGCATCCAACTTGGGCTCAGATCACGATCTCACGGTTTTTGAGTTCAAGTGCCCCATCGGGCTCTGTGGTGACAGCTTGGAGCCTGCAGCCTGACTTCGAATTCTGTGTCTCCCTCTCTCTCTGCTCTTCCCCTGCTCGTGCTCTGTTTCTCTCTGTCTCTCAAAAATAAATAAATACATTTTAAAAATTAATTAATTAAATTTAAAAATTTAAAAAAAGAAAAAGAGAAAGTGTTACCCCTTCTTAGTATAAAAAGCAATCAATAGAAATTATCACCAAGTAGACCTAGATGTTAGATTTAGCAGACAAAACATCAAGGTGTTTGCTATAAATACATTGAAAGAATTCAAATGAAATATGTTCAGTGAATTTAAAAAATGTTATCAATGAATTAACAGAGGAAATGACAACAGAAAAGTGGACACTATAAAAAAAGTAAATTCTAGAAATGAAAAGTACAATAACAAAACCAAAATTTGCCAAGTGGGCTCAATAACAACTTGGAAAAAGTGGAAGAAAGTATCAGTGAACTTACAAATATATAAATAGAAATTACCAAATATGAAAAACAAAGGAAGAAAAAAAAAGAGAAAAGAACCAACGAACACTGTGGGATAATTTAATTAAATCAATATATAAATACTTAGAATCCCTACAGAAGAGTGAAAGAAGCAGGAAAAAAAATACTTGAAATTATGGCCAAAAGCACCCCAAATTTGGTACAAAACATTAATTTATAGATGTAAGTGGCTACTCAAGTAGGAAAAAAAAAAAAATCACTCCCATATTATAATCAAACTTTGACAGCCAAAGATGAGAAAAAAATCTCAAAAGTAACCAGGGCAAAATGACACATTACGTACTAGGGAATGATGACAAGATTAATAGACCATCAAAAAATAAGCCAAAGACACTGGAACAACATATTAAATATGCTGAGAAATTATCTTAAATATTACTATACAATTACAATAAGCAAGATAACATAGTATTTATGAATGAAACAGAACCACATCCACAAATAGACCTAACATACATATGGCCATTTGATTTTTGACATAGGAGCAAAAGAAATCATAGAGAAAGGGCAGTCTTTTCAATAACTGGTGTAGAAGCAATTGATCATTTATATGCAAAACAAATGAACCCCACCTAAACCTCACACCTTTTGTAAAAATTAACTCAAAGCAGATCACAGATATAAATAAATGTACAATATAAAACTGTAAAAGTTTTAGAAGAAAACATAAAAGAAAATCTTTGTAACTTGGATTAGGCAGTTATTAGACATGACACCAAAAGCATAATCTATAATAGAAAAAAACCGATAAATTGGATTTCATCAAAATTAAAATAGTTTTATGGAATTCTTATCACCCTCTCAACTGCTTCCACCCCATCTTCTTGCTCTGGAATCTTGTTTGTAACTAATTCTTACATGTTGCTCCCACACTATTTACCTGAAATCTTCTCCTTGCCTATACCCTTAGAAAAATGGACTCCACGAATTCTAAACTCAATTCCCTCTCAAAACATGAAATTCATTAAACCCTTCAGAGACTGACAACATAGCTAAAGATCCCATAATTTATCATCTGTAACTAAGAAAATACTTTCTGAATTAAATCTTTTTGTTTTTAATGTTTATTTTTGAGAGAGACAGACAGACACACACACAGACAGACAGCATGAGTGAGGGAGGGGCAGAGAGAGAGGGAGACACAGAATCCGAAACAGGCTCCAGACTCTGAGCTGTCAGCACACAGCCCAACATGGGACTTGAACTCACGAACCATGAAATCATGACCTGAGCCAAAGTCGGATCCCTAACCAACTGAGCCACCCAGATACCCCAATACTTTCTGAATTAAAATTAAAATTTCTCCATATTCTGTTTAATCATATTTTAAATTAGGAAGCATAAAAGAAAGCTTTAAAAGGTAGGAATAAAAATTACAAATCAATAAGAAGTGTCATAGACAATTACTAAGAGAGTCTCTCAAGTTCATATACATATTAAAAGCACTTTTAAAGGTAACATGCTTTTGGATTATTTAAATATCATATGAAAAACAATTTTTGAAACATGGTAGGCAGTCAGGGTCAATTTAAAAAAACTTTATTGAGGGTGCCTGACTGGTTCAGTCAGTTAAGCATCTGACTCTTCATTTCAGCTCAGGTCATGATCTCACAGTGGGTCAGCACAGAGCCTGCTTGGGATTCTCTCTCTCCCTCTCTTTCTGCCCCTCCCCTGCTCACTCTCTTTCTCTCAAATTAAATAAATAAACTTTAAAAAATACTTTAAAAAAACTTTATTGGACAGGAAAAAATTACCTTAAATATGGACTCAAAATTTAAGCAAAATTGATTTTTTAAATAAAGTTTGATTATTAACACTATGATTATTCTTAAATATTAAAAATATTAGACAAATGTTACCTTTGCAGGTAACATTTCCCTGATTTCCCATATAAAACAGCAATTCATGTACTCCCTTTCTTACCACCCTGTAATATTTCTGCATATCAGCCAATTATAATTCCCTGATAGACCTTAACGTTTTCTGACATTGTGTGTTTTCTTAATCTTTCTACTACATGAGTTCCAGGAGAGCAAATGATATATCCTTAGGGCCTTAAAGAATGACTGGCATTAGAGCAGGTAATCAGTCCATTTTGTTAATAGGTTCTCAATTAGTTTTTGTTCAATGATAAATGGAAAAAAAAAAAAAAACTTAATACATGTATGTGGCCCTTTTAGATATTACAAAACGAAAACTACTGATAAAATCTTACTTGAGATCGAATAAGCACTCATGTATTTTTATTACATTGCCTTAAAAAGAAAATCACTCTAAGGTACAACTCTAAGGTAAAATCATCTTTGAGATCCATCCTAAAATTTTATAACATAAAGCACAACATGGTTTTCTGCTTATATTTCAAGTGTCCTTTTATTTTTATTTTCAGTGTAAATCATAATACTTCATGTGAATCTATAATACAAAAGTTTCCATTTTAATTTCACAGTGTAATAGTCTGTCTAAAACATATGAATCTCCTCTATCTTATCTCTTCACATTTCAAAAGACTAACACATTTGTCAAAAATTAAAGCAGAGAAAAAGTGACATTCACACTGTAATCAGAAACTGTTTTACTCTTTCTAGATTTAATTTCATCCAATCCCTGTCTCACTGTGCCTCTACTGTTCAAAAATAATGAGGATATAACAATATATAGATTTGATCCTTATTGGGTACAAACCACATCTACAACTTGCTCTTTAAGGCTAGCAAATTCTGCCCTGCTGATCTGTGATGCTAGGCAAACATCAGGGAAAAACATTTTGGAGTCCTCACAGTTAGAGTGTTTCTTTTAACTCATGGCTACAATTGGAAATCTATCCCTATCATTATGGTCATATAACATGGCAGTTATGGTTTCCCTGCTCTTGTATTTGCAAGTGTGTTTTAAAGAGGCTCTCTGGAAAAGCATTCCACATAAATACAGTTATGATGTCCAGAAGCAAGGGCCTAAATTGAAAAAATCCACAAGATTGAAGCTTTTACCAAGATACCAAAAATAAAGATAATGTTCTGTTTATTTGTTTAATAAACCGATTCAATCCATACCACAAAGTATTTGCAATGTTTGTTTAGAAGTTGAACAATCTTACTTAAGCTTTCTGGCAAGTCCAAGCTTCTTTTCCTATCCCTTAATTATTACTGAAATGCAGATATTCAACCTCAATTTGAAAGTTACTTTTGCTAGATTGAGATTAACAATTTATACAGGTATTTTTTACTTTCTTTGCCAATACATAAATTCTTACATATAACAACAACAACAAAAAGTTGAACTAGAACTAACATACTGGTAGAATTTTTTATTTAACTGAGGGTTTTCTTTTTGGGCCTTTATTCCATTTTTCCCTTCCTTGCTTCAGAATTTCTAGTGCAGTTTAGTACCTTAGGAAAAATGAAATAAAATAAAATAAGGAAACAAAAATATTTTTTCTCAAATTCATGCCATTCATCTACTTAATGACTCTGGCGTGGCATTAGTTAAGGTACATTTTGTGATCAAAATATATCTTTGCAAGACTTCAGCCCAAAAAAGTCACATTAGAATTTTAATAGAAATATATTGCCTTCCAAAAATACTTTGCAAAAAGAAAAATTAGAAGTCTGCAAGTAAAATGCAAAATGGCTAAGAGGATGGCTGTGACTTTAATAGTCCTCATAAAATCTAATCTATCAGCTAACTACTAGATAGAATACTCTCGGAAAACAATCCAAGGAGGCAAAAGATAAAAGTAGAGGATTAACCCAATGAAACTATCGTTGTATTTTTAAAATTTTTTTTAATGTTTATTTATTTTTGAGAGACAGAGAGAGACAGAGTGCAAGTAAGGAAGGGGCAGAGAGAGAGGGAGACACAGAATCCGAAGCAGGCTCCAGGCTCTGAGCTATCAGCACAGAGCCTGAGGCAGGGCTTGAACTCACAGACTGCGAGATCATGACATGAACCGAAGTCGGATGCTCAACTGACTGAGCCACCCAGGCGCCACTATCATGGTATTTTTATTTTTTTATTTTTTTAATTTTTTTTTCAATGTTTATTTATTTTTGGGACAGAGAGAGACAGAGCATGAACGGGGGAGGGGCAGAGAGAGAGGGAGACACAGAATCGGAAACAGGCTCCAGGCTCTGAGCCATCAGCCCAGAGCCCGACGCGGGGCTCGAACTCCCGGACCGCGAGATCGTGACCTGGCTGAAGTCAGACGCTTAACCAACTGCGCCACCCAGGCGCCCCTATCATGGTATTTTTAAATGAGAAAACTATATGCTTGCAATGAAGACTCATCAGTTTCTATATACTATGATCTTTTTTCATGAATATCCCTTTAAGATATAACATTTTATATATGTAAGCCAAAATTATAAACACGTAGGTATTTTACACAAACTAGTTCATTTCTATTCATTCAAAGGCACAATAACAATTACTATTTTTTCCCTGTAGAGCCTGTAACATAAATTAAAGAGATCTGTAAGTGATCTAGTCTCTTGATATATATGAATGTACTCTTTAAGAACCAATGAGAAAAGACCAGGTATTTGGTAAACATTTTATCAATATTTGGGACAGGAGGGAAAAACAATGTAAGTGAAAAATTAATTTCAAGCAAGAGAAAATAGTTACAAATCACTAAATAGAATCATGTCTGGGAAGAAAACATTCAAAAATGGGCTTGGAATATTTTCTTGTGCCAGAAAAAAAAAAAGTAAGTGCTCAGAAGTCTAATAGGGAATGTAAAAAAAAAAAAAAAAAAAAAAAAAAAAAAAAAAAAAAAAAGACACAGAAGCCAGCATGAAGGGAATCCACCATTTTAGAATCAAGGATTAATGACTGTGATTGATTTTAAAACTCTGAATAAATAAAAAGTCATGAGTACATAGTAATAAATACATAAAAAAGGAGAAAGATAAATAGAAAAAAATCTAATTTGCATCTTAAATAACTATTATCCCAACTCCTAAGCTGGTAATGAAATAGAAAGAATTAAGTAGTGACCCTGCCTTTTTTAGGGAATTATATACTTCATCTCAATTGATAAGATAAAGTTCTTCTTTACTGAAAAATGGCAGCTAATCAATGTAAAGACATGACAGGGTTAGAAATTCACCGTTCTGCAAACACTAAAGAAATAATGGAGTCAGACAAGGATCATCAATGCATGTGCAAAAGATTGTTGGGAAACAGGTTATTTACATAGTGTTGCCCCATAGATCTTTGCTGATAGCAAAGGAAAAACTACATCTTTTTTCTAGACAGATCTGGCAATTTGAGACAACTTGAAACTGTGTCTCCTGATGTGATACTTACCATCAGTTAAGAAGCATGTACTATGAAATGTTAAACCTCAATCTAAGCAAGCTTTTAGCTGAAACCTCCAGTTTACTGGCAATAGAAGAACAAGATAAGCAATACCAGGAGAAATTTACCAGATAAACAAAAAAAACAAAAACAGAAACAAAACAAAACATAAAAACAGAGGGGAATTCTAGATTAAAAGAGATATAAAACCATTTGGGGAACAAATGGAGAAATCGGAATTGGGAAGACAGTAAGTGATAATAGGGAATACTTAAGTTTTCTTACAGATGATAATGATATTATGGTTATGCCTTTATTTTCAGGAAATAATATGCTAAAGAATTTTAGGTATTAAGGGTCATGATGCCAGAAACAACTTCAAATAAGCCAGAAAAAATATTAAATGCAAATATAAAGAACCTTAGTAAATCTAGGAAGTAGGTATACAGGTATTTACTTGAGGGCAGTGATAAACATATTTCTTTTTTTTTTTTTAATGTTTTATTATTTATTTATTTTTTTGGCAGGGCGGTCAGAGAGGGAGGGAGACAGAGGATCTGAAGCAATCTCTGCACTGACAGCAGAGAGCCTGATGCGGGGGGCTCGAACTTACCACAAGATCATGACCTAAGTCGAAGTTGGACACTCAATTGACTGAGCCACCCAGATGCCCCAGTCAATATATTTCTTAAAGGCTACCTGTATCGCATGGGACTTATGGGAGAATCTGCTTTAGCAATGTTTCCTAAAAAATGGAGAAGGTGATTCATCAAATACATTAACTTGAAGAAGATGGATTTAGATATGTTGAATGTAATTTTACTGCTTTTTCCAATACTTCTAAATTTTTATCTTGTCAATGGTGATTTTATTTACCATAGGTACTTTCATAAACATAACTCCATGGTTAGTAAGGGGATACTATATTCAATTAGGTACCTAGCATAATATTTAGCTAAAGGTAAATTATATTAGACCAAACGTGGTTTCTTCACTGTGGTTTGTTTGTTCAACAAACTCTATTATCACGATTTGTGATGCATCAGTTATTCTGCAAAAGGGACAGAACAGATTTTTCCATTGTACATCCTCCCAAGAATCACTCATTTAAAACCATAATTGTGAAATTTACCAAATACAAAGATTCAAAGAACTCTGGCAACCTAGATCTTCCAACTACTTTTCAGATACTTAGAATGATAACCTATTTTTGCACAGTGCCTGTGATCCTGGCCGGAAACCAGGAAGAAACTGACTGCTATGCTCTTGCCAGTCTCTAACGTATTACTCTTTGCAAATACAGCTTTATTTAAGCAAATTAAAGAACATTTTTGATTAAAAAAAAATAACATACAATCACATTCATAGTGATTTGAAGAGGATCATATCCTGCTTTTTAATTTACTCACAATTTATCAGTACCTTTTCATTATCCTGGTTGTGTTTACTCATTGGTGATGTCGGTACATAAAGATCAGTTTCAGCAGCTACTGCATACTGTCTTCCAAGCAGAAAATCCCGTAGTTGACTCTGTACAAAACACAGGTTGCTAATAATAAACTGCTTTTCCAACTATAAAAAATACTTCACATTGAGCTCTACATAGTGTCACTAATATCCCAGCATACAGTATTATTACCTGATCTTTGTTGACAGTAAGTATACATGGAATTAAACTCTCTAACAAAACGCTTGTTTCCAATGGCTGTACTCATAGAGTTCACAAGTTTAGAGTTAAAAGATAACCTTGGAAATTTAATCTGAGCCTTTAATTTTTATAGAAGAAAATTAAAGACAAAATGCTTACCTAAGGCACACAATAAATGCTTCATTTGGGGATTATACAAAAGTAAACCTAGTGTTCTAACAGCATATTTCAAAGTAAGAATTTCAATGAAAAAAAAATGGTTATTTGCTTTCACTGTGCCATGGTACTCAACATCTCCCTAATATTTGTTCTAAGCGATCCAAGATTATGTAGGTATTCACACACCTCATTCCTGATGAGTAAACTTGGAGGGAAGGTATAAACTGAATTAACAAAGCCTAAAGAGATTGCAAACCACTTTCCTCTCAGCCGTTGCAAAATTATAACTAAAATAACTCCCCAATACATACTTCTTAAAAGGCAAAGTGGGATTTTGTTGTTCATAACTTGAATTTCAAAATTTAAGCTCACTAAAAAAAAATTTATTTATTTATTTATTTTTTTTAAGTTTTGACTTTTACTCCTTTGCTACAAAGGGCAACTTAGATACCTATTTTCTTTCTTTTTTTTTTTTTTTTTTTTTTTTCTTTTTTTGAGACAGAACACCAGCTGGGGAGTGACAGAGAGAGAGGGAGACACAGAATCTGAAGCAGGCTCCAGGCTCCAAGCCATCAGCACAGAGCCCGACATGGGGCTCCAACTCAGACTGGGAGAAAATGACCTGAGCTGACGTTGGACACTCAACCGACTGAGCCACCCAGGTAGCCCTGGATACCCATTTTCTAAATATTAGCTAGCCAGAAACTTTTAATGACCAGTGACAACATACAGTGCAACTTTTCAATATTTAAAAAATTGATCTTATGAAATAATTCAGGTTCATTGTCTTTAAACAGAAAAATTGTTTTGGGAGAATTTGTGTTTGACGATTACTTTTTTTTTCATTTTTATTGTAATTCCAGTATAGTTAACATACAGTGTTATATTAGTTTCAGGTGTACAATATAGTGATTCAACACTTCCATTCATCACCCGATGTGCATCTCACCTGCACTCCTTATTCCCTATCACTTATTTCACCCATCTCCCACCCACCTCCCCTCTGGTAAGCATCGGTTTGTCTCCCACAGTTAAGTTTGTTTCTTGGTTTGTCTTTTTAAGAAGAATTTACTATTTTAAAAATCTTGAATAAAGGTAGTCCTCACACTTGTGGTTCTTATGTTTTCAGGAGAGATGTTAAAAGCAAAGATTTATTCTTCCATAAATACAACGTTATTTTTTGAATCGGATAATATTACCCTCTGGTTTAAACTATGTTCATGTTGGGGTGCCTAGGTGGCTCAGTCGGTTAAGTGTCTGACTCTTGATTTCAGCACAAGTCATGATCTCACAGGTTCATGAGTTCAAGCCCCACATTGGGCTCCTCGCACTGACAGTGCAGAGCCTGCTTGGAATTCTCTCTCCCTCTCTCTCTCTCTCTCTGCCCTCTGCACATGCTCTCTCTCTCAAAAGAAATAAACTTTAAAAAATAAAGCCATATTCATGTTTAATGACATGTAAATGACAATATTCTAGATCAGTTCAGTGAGGAGGGTCCGTGGACTCCTGAGGTCCTTAAGACCCACTCAGGAGACCCAGGAAGTTCACCCTTTTTCAACTATGTATCAATGTGAATCCAAATTTTCTTGATATACTTCAATCAAAACAACATACCAGACAGTAGACATGAGAAACAGCTATTTTCTATCATACATGACATTAAGGATATTTTTTAAAAATGTAAAAAATAATAAATACAAACTATGTAAAACATTCTCACAATTTTCTATTCCTAAAAAATTTATTAATACTATTCACATAAACAGGTAATAGGTTTATTATCAATATCTTAATAACTGATACTTTCAACATATCTCAATTTTAATCTTTGATAAATATTAACAGATAAAACTCATATAAACAAAATCTCCTTGTAGTCCTAATATTTTTTAATTTTATTATTATTTTTTTAATGTTTATTCATTTTTGAGAGACAGACAGGCAGAGGACGAGCAGGGAACGGGCAGAGAGAGAGGAAGACCCAGAATCTGAAGCAGACTCCAGGCTCTGGGCCATCAGCACAGAGATCAAACCAACTGAGCCACCCAGGCACCCCCTAATTAATTTTTAAGAGTGCAAAAGGGTTCCTAAACTTAAAACTTTGACAAGGACTCTAGATAATATGACATAAAGCTTTCTGAAGTAAGCAGAAAAATCACAATGTATTTTCTGTGATACGCTATTAATTTTATTGATTTATACCTTTACTTTGTAGGTAAGTTGTTATTCATTCTACTTTTATCCTCTTATTAACCATATTTTCCATTCCATTAATGGTTACCTTCCCTTTCTGGTACTCAAATCAGACCCGTTTCTCTACTGTTATTTAAAAGTGGTAATGCCTGCTTATTCCCAACAAACTACAATATTTAGCCATTTTAATTCTAAACTAATATCGGAATCTCCCTTAGTGTAAGCCTTCCATTTCAGCACACATATCACCAGTCCACCCTTATCATATACACGCCAAGTTTTGTTGCTCACTACCATCTTCCTCTAGATACGTATCTGCTCCAATTCATCTGTTTAATTATTACGGTCTTTGAAAAGGCAAAGTCTTCACTTGAAGTATGAAGATGACATTCTTTAAATTTTTCCATAGCCTCACAAGTCCTTCCTTTATCTTAGCTAGTAAGTGATACCTTGTTGAGGATCAAGACATGCTATTTAATTTTTGTTCTTTTTTTTTTT